TGAACGTGGGCACTGCAGCATGAGTTGTGGATGTCACAAGCAGTGACTTCGGGCTGAGCCAAAAGCCTGGCTCATATTCTCAGGGCTTTGAAACTCAGTCTAAATTGCCCATGGCTCCGTACACAATGACCTAGCTTTCAGTCTTTTCAGGTCACCATCTTGATGTCCTTTCCCTTCAACTTTGGAATAATTGGTAAGTCAAAGATTAGCCTTTGGTTCTCTGTAACCTTTCGTCACAGGTTTATAAAGAGGAACAAGTTCGGCAGAGTCGGCAGCGCTGCAGGTATCGTTACGCATTAAAGTTAGGGTCCCTGCCACAGAGACTCTTGCATTGGCGACAGCATTTGCTGCTGCAAATTACATATGGAACTTCACAGAAACTACATACACTTAAGAAGATCAACTCCAGAAAAATCAAGAAATATCCCTTTCCAGAAAGGCTCTGGTAATTTTAAAGAGCAAATAAAAGGAAGCGAGAAAGACAAAATCAATCACTCAGCATAGTGGAGTTCAGTAAATGCTAATAGTAGCACACTAGAAGGATATTTGTAAAAGACTTTGGGTAAGAATGTACTGAAGACCCATTTTACATATTCTTCTCTTGACTCTCCCAAGATTAAAAACCTGGGCGGAGGAGTTCATTTTACCTATTTCATCATCATCATCATCATCATCATCATCATCACCATCATTTGAAGGTGAGAAACAGGGAGATAGAGAGAAAGAGCTCTCACTCACTGGCTCATTCTCCAAGTGCCCACAACAGGGGCCAAAGCCCGGAGCTGGGAACTCAGTTCAGGTCTCCCGCATGGATGGCAGGCACCCAGATACTGGAGCTTCACCTGTTGCTTCCCAGGGCCTACCGCAGTAGGAAGCCAGACTCAACGAGCTGGGCTACAAATGGGACCTAGGTGTTCCCTACGGGATGTGGGCATCTCAGCCAGTGAGGCAGGTGTCCTCCCCCTCAGTATTTTATAATTTAGTTTTCGAGTTGTTTGACATTTGAGATTATTATCTCTTGACATCCTCCAATGAGTTCACGGGCCAATTTCTGTATAAATGAGGTACATTGGAAGGTAACACTTAACTAAGCCATGACTATGGGCCAGCTTAACTGTTATAACTCATTTAAATTTTACCACATCCCTGTGTGGTATTATCCCGATTTTACATAAAGGTGTATCGGGGCTCAGAGAGTGAAGACAAGGGAAGGCTCAGAGCGCAAGGCCAAATACCCCAATTTTTTTTTTAAGATTTTTTTTTTACTTTTGGGAGGCAGAGTTACAGATAGAGAGATGGAGAGAGAGAGAGAGAGAGAGAGAGAGAGAGAGGTCCTCCATCCACTGGTTCTCTCCCCAAATGGCTGCAACAGCTGGAGCTGGGTCGATCCAAAGCCAGAAGCCAGGAGCCAGGAGCTTCTCTCCCATGTTGGGTGCAGGGGTCCAAGTACCTGGGCCATCCTCCACTGCTTTCCCAGGTATATTAGCAGGGAACTGGATTGTAAGTGGAACAGCTGGGACTTGAACTGGTGCCGTAGGTGGAGGTCTAACCTACTCCGCCACAAGAGTGTCCAAATTCTATGTAAAGTATAGGACAATGTTGAGCTTCAAACCATGTCTCCCTGGCACTTCATACTGGTTCCTTCTGCCTATAGGGATCACCGGGGCACATTCTCCTGCCTTATCTAGCTTCATGTCTCTCTATGGTCACTTGCTTTCAAAATTGGTTTAACGTTGATTCTGTAACCCACACTCAACATACGAAAGCTGAACTTATGTCAAATTTACTTATTTTGAAGGACCACTCAGCATCTGACACGAGAACCTCACCAAATGTATTTGTGGCCAAGTAAGTTTAGAGGTTAAGGTACTTAAAGCCCGGAAGGCTCCCAGGTTTTCTTTGGTCCAGAATCTCCTTGGCTCTCTCAGATGCTAATATAGGGGGGGGGGGGGTACTGCATGTATCCTCTCAGAAGCTATGCATTGACTCATGGATTAATTCATGCTTTATTTTGTGAGAACATCTCAAGGCAATTATTTTTCATGAAACTGCCCATCTTGGTGATGTGTCAGTACAGGGCAAACCACTTTACCTGTTTGGAATCGAGTTTTCTATTCTACATCGTAGGTTCAAGAAATTCTGCAGGTTCCTTCACCTCTAAAACGTCTGTGACATTGGCTCAACCCTCACCCCAAATCCAGGCGTTTGTGCTACCAAGGAGAGAGGGAGACCCTCTGAAAGCCATCCATTCGTTCACACATTCATGGAACATTTCTGGATGGTCACACACTGTGCTAGGCCCTGAGGATGCAGAGACAAGATCTAAATGAGACAAATCAGATACACTGTCTGCCTTCTGGAGGAGGGCCACACGTCTGCTTGTGATTAAAAACCAATAGTGTGGGGCCAGCGCTGTGGCATAGCAGGTAAAGCTGCTGCCTGCAGTGCCGGTATCCCATATAGGTGCCTGTTCGAGTCCCGGCTGCTCCACTTCTGATCCAGCTCTCTGCTATGGCCTGGGAAAGCAGTGGAAGATGGCCAAAGTGTTTGGGACTTTGCACCCACGTGGGAGACCTGGAGGAAGCTCTGGCTCTTGGCTTCGGATGGATGGAGCTCCGGCTGTTGCAGCCATCAGGGGAGTGAACCAGCAGATGGAAGATCTTGCTTTGTCTGTCTGTCTGTCTCTCTCTCTCTCTGCCTTTCTGTAACTCTGTCTTTCAAATAAAACAAATGGATCTACAAAAAAAAATGTACATTTTTCCACAAAAAAGAAAGAAAAAAGAAGGACTAAGCTAGAAGAAAGGATTTTAAAAGGCTTCATCATACAGAAATTATAAATGTCTGAGGAGATAGGTGCATTTACACTGATTGGAAGTTACACAACACATATATGCATTGAAATATCACAGGGGACAACACTGTGGTGCAGCTGGTTAAAGCCTCAGCCTGTAGCACCAGCATCTCATATGAATGCTGGTTCAAGTCTTGGCTGCTCCACTTCCCATCCAACTCCCTGCTAATGCTCCTGGGAAAGCAGCAGAGGATGACCAAAGGGCTTGGGCCCCTGTACCCATGTGGGTGGGAGACCTGGAAGAAGCTCTTGGCTCCTGGCTTCGGCTCAGCTCAGGTCTGGCCATTGTGGTAATTTGGGGAGTGTTCATAACTTTATCTAAAATAAAAATAAATAAATATAATCAAACCAAATAAAATAAATCTTAAAAAAAGAAACTTCACAGGGCACCCCATAAATATGTGCAAGGTTCATGTCAGTTAAAAATTTTAAAATTATTTTAAAAAACAGTATGGGAAGAATGCAGCAAAAACAGGCATGGCAAATACATACACACACAAATGGAAGAGTCTGGAGACCAACCTCAGTCACAGAGAGTGGAAACTTTGCTGAGTCACAGAGACAGAAGCAATTCTGCAGGGAGGTGGCCCAACATGAGTGCTACATGACAGGCAGGCCTCAGACAAAGGGAAGGTTCTCCAGGCAGTGGGGAGGCAGGAACAAGGAAAGCAGTGATCTGTGGGCGTCCGGCATTGCCAGAACACAAAGGTCAAGGCAAGGGAGGCCAGCACGAAGCTGCAGGAGCAGGCGGGGGCTGGCTGCCGGGGGTCTTCCTTGTCAGACACTTGAACTTCATCGCACCGCGTGCCGGGGAGCCTGCGGGAGGCTGGAAGCTGGAACTGACCTGCTCAAAGTTGCATTTCAGAGTATGGAAAACAGAAAGAGAGGCAAGAGAAGTGGGGAGACAAGCTGGGGTGACCACAGATGTTCAGGGGATGGCTAACGAGCTCCCAAACCAACGGGGCAACAGGCAAGATGGATCTGAGAAACACGCACCATGGAATCGTGGAACCTGCTCAGTCGGGTGACTGCTTAGATGAGGAGGTCAAGGAGGGGTCAGCCCCTCCCAGTTAGGTCGGCTGAGTGCGGGATGTCAACACTAGAAGAGGAGGTGCAACTTTAGGGAGAGCAAGGATGGGATGTGAGGGTGTGGTGTGTGCTGGGTGTAAGGCCTCCCTAAGGCATCTGTAGGGTTGCAGCACAAACTCATTCTGTGCATCAAAATGCAAACTGCAAACGGGAGCTTCCTTTTGTGTAGGGGACTCAAGTTTAAGGGCCATTCCACACTGCTACTTATTTAAGTTGCTGGGACATTGAAAATAAGTGACCCCATTTTATCTTCAATATAAAATAATTATTCATGAAAATCATAAATAAGATTAAGTTGACAATTAACCATAGAATTATGAGGCAGACAATAGACAGTCTTAATAGTTTATGTGTGGTTGTTTTTATTAATACTTACTGTGGAAAGAAACCCATAACCACTGGTTTAGATTTATTTTTTTTTACTGGTATGATAAAATATCATTTAAAATAGTCTTCTTTTTACCAAATCATCCAAATTGGTGTTGGTGAATTAAAAAAGGTTATGAATCTACTCTAAATGTCACAGACACCAGGTGCTCAAAGCTCTGTAATACCGCCAATCAAGCCATTTGCTCCTCACCTGTGCAGCCATCAAGGAGAACTGAACCATTTTCTGAGTGACCCATCTAGAACATTCCTTTCTGAATGCATTATTTAAAGCATGCAGAACAGATTCTGCAAGGCTCTTTCTAAAGGGTTGGGAATACAGTCTGCCTAAGAACTAGCCCAAGTATCCCTTTGTTGATGTTCATAGAAGAATCATCAAAAAGTTCACAGAAAGGGTGCATTATGACAAAAAAATGCACAAATTTCAAATTTGCTGCATCCAAATAAACTTCTTTTTAAATTCCATCTCCCCACAACGTTTGAAGTCCCCCAGTACAAGTATGAACGAGGGCCCAGTTTTTGCAACTCTATCAGCAGGTCCTGGAAAGTAGGTGATAGAAAAGTTCTAGAAATCCTGGAAAGCAGGTGATAGAAAAGTTTTAGAAATCTTGGAAAGTAGGTGACAGGAAAGTCAGGAGGCAAAGGGGCAAGTGCAAGGGCAAAAATGTCTTACCGGGCTCTTGCTGTATTTTGTGGTTGTTTTTAAACCAGGTTATCTGGGGCTCTGGGACCCCGCTAGCAAAGCAGTCCCACGTGGTTGAGCTGCTGACACTCACTCTGTGGTCACTGAGGTTTCGCAGGAGGGATGGCGCTTGCTGGTCTAGTGAGGAAAGAGAGGGACCGCGGTTACTCGTCAGTTTTATGCTTTGCTTGCACACGCATACGACATCGTCTCAACTATCTGCAGACAAGCGTCGCCACTCACCTATCGGGTCTCACGTGTGCTTTGCTCCCTAACTTTCTCTCCAGTGGCCCACCTACGGCTTCCTCTTGAACAAGATGTTACAGTAAGTTGAAACGGACTAGAACCCTAAAAAAGCAAGGGCTAGAGTCTACATGTGTAGATTTCAATACAAAAATTTTTGTCTGATTGGGTCATCCCTTACATTTTTTCAAGAGGAGCTTTTCTAAAACCCAAGGATTCTGCATAATATTTTCAGAGCCGTAATACAGAGCACAATTTTGTAGACAGGTTTGTAACGAATCTTTACATAATATAGAGAGAGCTGTGGTAATGGGCTAATCTGATCTCAGATGTATTTTTATTGATGTCTTTGTGAGGTCGTGTGTGTGTGTGTGTGTGTGTGTGTGTATGTGTGTGTGTTACTCAATTGCCAGTAACCTAAATCAGCAGACCAAACAAGAGAATTTCTTGAACTTGGAAAACTTTATTGATTACTTCCTTCCTCCGTTCCCTTCCCCAATGCAAGTCATTGAAGCATTAATTCAAGAGGCAGAGGCACAGGTTTGTAGTTTTTGCACTATATAATAGTACAAATATTGTATTTTATATTATTTTCTCTTAAAACATACAAATATGATACAATACAATTTATTTTAATAAAATGCCAACCAATATAGTACAACAAAATGAATTTAATACATTAAGATGCAATACATTACAACATGAAAATCCCACGTCGGAACAGCAGTACCCCCAAGGACCCCAGTGCGTCTCAGTGTAGTGAAGTGGTCAGTCCTGCTGATGTGTGTGTGCATTCTAGTTAGGCGGGCACTGAATTGGAGGCTCCAGCTTCCAAAGGAAAAGAATAAAACAGCTTGTAACATCTCTCCCAGCCTTCCAAATCCTCCCCATCCCCTTCAGTTACAAATCCTGGGACAGAGATCAGAGAATTGCAACATAACATAGGCATTCTGTGGCACTGGCTTCAGTTCTACAGTATGAGCTTTCTCTGGCCATTTGTGACTTCTTCATCTCAGTCTACCATCGCTCTGAAAGCAGCTTGGGAGGGATGACAACGCTACAAATGATGCTACCTGGCAATGCCTTGGATTCCATGGCCCTGTAGGTTTCTGCTGAGTCCCCAGACCAGGTAGACTCTCAGGATGAGCATTGGTGAAAGCCATTTAGAAGTCCCAGCTTACAAAAGGATATGATCATAGCACTTTTACGACATGTGCAAGTAGTAGAACATGGCATGCTGACTATCAGTTAGGAGGAAATTTCTCAATAAGATTTGATTTTCATAGCTCATCACTAGCCTTCTCACTTTATACCAAATGAAATCAGAAGTGTTAAAGGGAGGGCTCTGATTCTTGAAGGCTTCCCTCAAAATAACTGGGAAGGAATGATAGCAGTGGTTCCTTTACCTCCATCCTGTCTCGCTGCCCTAGATGGAGCCGTCACAATGTGCCCATACTTGCATTCTGGACCATGTGGCAAACGTCTTTTCCTAATGGAAAATGCGGCCTGAATCATACCTTCCATTTCTGATGACTTGTACATGCTTGCGAATTACAGTTCTGACATTTTTACACAGTGAGGATCCCAAACACATCAGTGACACACAACAGAGTAAAAGAACAGCATCATTGACGATGTTGCATCTTGTACAGTGGCAAGCCAACTTTGACATGTCTCATTTAAAACTCAGACCCAGTTCAGTGGGCTGTAATGTTAATAGCTTCCTCTAGCACATTTACAATTTCCCATGCATTCAGTATGATAAAATAATCTGTCATTGCTCCCAGAACTTACACAAAGGAAGTCTGAATTACAGGGCACACAACACCCAAATGATTGCCAGAGCCACAAACTGTTAACATCAGCAAGCAACACAGACAGGATTTGGACTTCCCTAACAGGTGGATTGGAAAACAATCCTTATATAGAAGAGAACATTTTATTTGAACATAAATGTCATGAAGAAGTCCCAAAGGCCCGCTTCGTACTGCACAAACTTTAGACAATAGAAGCAGCCACAAGGCTGTAGAATACACAGAGGCCTCCCAGGGAAAAGACAAAGTTCACATGAACACAGACTCGTGACGGCTTTTCCTCCATATGCCTTTCTGTAAAACATCCTCTCCTGTTGACAGTCGCAGTTTTGGCCACTTCCTAAATGAGCACTCAACGTGGGAATCTTACTTTGCCCATCCCTACTCCATGTGTTCCAATACGAATCCATTTTGCCATTTTAAATAAGAAAGGTCCATCGAACTCACCCTCTGAAACCTCGGTTACTCAGTGCAAGGAGTATCCTGCTTTTCCCACTTTAGCAAAGTGTAGCTGATCCCTTCGAACTCAGAAAACTGGAGTTCACAGGGAATTTCTGCTGGTTATCAGTAGCCCAAGAAAGCTGCCCATGGGGTTCTTCTTTCACTTTGCAGGGTTATGGCCCCGGAGCTGGGCCAGGTCCTATACATAGAGTTTCTACCCTGTGATTGGAGTGGGGACAGAGGGACCAGCCTCATACCCCAACTCCATCCTGGCCTCCACATAAGGCTTTTTATCCTTTCTTTTTCCCATGGTTATCCTTGTCTTGTTTCATACCCCTAAGAGGGTAGTGAGAAAAAAACAAAACAAAACAAAACAAAACAAAAACAAAAACAAAAAAAACAAACAGTTACTTTTTAAAAAACACCCCCTGGAAGGATGAAATACTCAGTGGTCCATTAATTGCTCTATGGGATTCTGAAAATCATCTCTCTTGGAAGTACTTAAAACCATCTTCTGTAAAATAGTAATAGCCTCTCGTCCCACAAAAATGGCAATAAAGGGAAGGCTGTGGTAGGTTCTGCGTCCAGTTGACTGGTTTTTTCCATGAGTGGTCTGGAAATCATCCCCTTTGCTTTCTTAGCTGGAGTCAACACCAGGACAGCCCAGTTCTGCGGTCCTAGGCCATTGTTTCTGTGACTTGGAACGAACAAAGACCCCAGGCCAAAGAGGCATAGGTAAAATTTCAAGATACAATTGATTATTCTTTCCTTTGGGCTGACAACTTCCAGGTTGCTAATTGTTTTCAGAGCATTTGGGACTCCATAAAACTGGCATTCTGGGGAAATGCTATTGTTTACTCTTTCACACTTGACAAAAGCAATTCCCACGTGAAAGACAAGTTTAGCGTGGGACAGAGGCTGCTACCTAAAGGAGGAAGCAGGCTGGTGAGTTCCCAAGCTCACAGAGCTGTCATACTGTCACCTCCTATTGAACTGTCCAGCCACGGGGTTTCTCAGCCATGGCTATTTTGGTTATTTTTTTCCTCCCTTCCCCCCTGCATCGTTCATACAGTTCACATATAATGATCAATCATAAATGAAAACAACAGGACAATGCATATTAAATTGGCAACAGAGTCACTTTTCCCTCAAATGCAAGCTTAAATCAGGAGATTAGGACCTTTCTTGATTTAAAAATGGCGTGTATCACAAAATGACTTTGATTTCTGCTTCTGCAGTCTGCCATTTCTTAATCTCCATAAAAAAGCCTATGAACATTTGCAGGTGGGGAAAATGGACTTTTCTGGTTGGACAAATTTAAAATTTACATTTGAAAGAACACATTAAACCTCTGGCATGGTAACCTTTAATTCCTTGATAAGGTGCTTGAAGTTCACCTTGAAGGCCACCATTGGGACACAAACAAAGCTCTTTAAAAGAATAAGCAGGGGGACAAAGATACTTAAAATGGAGGCATGCCAGGTGTGGCCGGTGGCTGTGTGGTCCAAACAGAGGCAAGGAGGGGGCAGACTCTGGGGCACTGGGGCACTGTGATGCGTGTTGCAGAGTGACCTGGCACTGTGGGGTGAGCCGGGGGAGAGGATTGATTTGGGGGGCTTTCATAATCCACATGATAACACAGCTTTATTATCTCTGAATTATACCAACAGCTTGCGCTCCTGGGGCGGCCCATTTTTGAAACTCCAGTTTAAGATTAATGTGCTTAAAGTAAGAAAGCCAAAGAAGAAGCATCTTCAAATAAATAAGCATTATAACTTGCTATCCAGGTGCTATTTACAAATCAAGAGCAGGTGAAACAGTACAGGACAAACCCAGGCGGAAGTCCGACAGCGTCTCCAATTCTGCTGTACTCATTCCGAGCTGGAGAAATGAACGCATTCGTGTCCATCTTTGGCAGAAACCAGCATTTGTTTAAATTATTCAGTTTGTGTAGCTTCAAAACTTAAAAGTAAAAAGAGGTTGGCATCAAAGTGGAAGGAAAAGGATCAGTCCCCGGTTGCTGTGGCTCAGGCAGGAGAAGACAGCAAAAGAAAAAAACTAACAAAAAACACACAGAGAAGGCAGTGCAGGGATCCTCCAAATCCAAATGCGCACCAAGTCAGCCCCAGAGGGCAGAGCCCACGCAGGGACCTTGGGGGGTCTCATTATTTCTCCTAGCATCTCCGAACTCATTTTGGGAGGAGCATCTCCTCTGGGCCTGAAGATTAGCAACAGTGACAATAAATCAAGCTGATATGAGACACCTGTTACTTTTTTTAAATGAGTCCTTTAATGTTTTACATGACTTTGTGTGGTACAATCATTCCTTGTGCTTTTAAATTTGGAGATCCGAGAGAAAACAGCCTTTTTGTTGCAGTGCTCACCTCTGATTGTCACTTCTTTCTGCTGCAGGGTTTCTTCCCCTGTGTATACGTTCCTGGCTCTGCAGGCGTAGGTGCCCGAGTCTTCCAGGGACACGTTCTTGAGGAGCAGGTTCAAAGTCACCGAGTAGTCTTTCGTGACGGCCATGTTTTGCTTGCGAATGCTGTGGCGCATTGTTCTGTTGTTAACTGTCCGCAGCAAAATCCAAGTGACGTCTCTGTACAGGAACTTGTTGACCGTGCACGAGAGTTTCAGGTCCTCTCCTTCCGCAGGCATTTTTTCCAGGTGAACGTGAAATCCATTTGGCACGTCTACAACATAAGAAGGCAGAACTTTTAGTTCTTAGAAAAAGCAGCCTCCTAATGGGCGCGGCGAAGATCTGTTCTGACACAATTCCCCCAGCTTTGGCATTGAACAGGATGAGTTCCGGGAGTGAGGATTTAGCCTGTGTTAAGAGGCACACATCCCACACTGGAGCGCCGGAGCAGGAGTCCCAGGCTTGCCTGGGACTCGTTTCCTGCCAGTGCAGTCTCTCTCTCTCTCTCTCCCTCTCTCTCTCTCTCTCTCTCTCTATCCCCCCCTCCCCCTTAAAATAAAGGTGTGAATATCTATCTTATCTTTTCCTTGAGAGGAAATGGTCAAACTTATCAGGTAGGCACCAGCTAAGCTCATTCCAGCAGAAGGGAGGCAGGAAGCACAGACCAGAGCAGCCTTAGGATGGCACTTTCCCCTTTCTTCCTCAAAGTTGCAGAACGTTTGTTCCAACTCGGAGTGATAACGTTGCTTCCTATGTCCTTATCACCGATACTCCTACTGGTAAGGAGTGGGCAAAATATTGAAGTAACATAAATGCAATTTGTACAAAAAATCAGACAGTCTTTATGGTCAACCTTATCTAAGGCAGCTTAGGCCGAGTGAGCACAGTCCCAGGTGTGTACCCATCAGTCCGCCTCTGGCCCTAAGCTTTCACAGCAAGAAGCAGCTGGGACTCAGTCCCCTCTTCTGCTGCCCTGGGTTTACTTTTCCTGGACTTCGGCACCACAGTGGCTGCAAAGAACCAGGCCCCTTCTCAGGACACTTTTTATGGTGACAGTTCTACTCAGACCCAACAGAGCGAAGGGGTCTGCAAATACAGACAGCTGACTCGGAAGAGTCACCAGATTCTACGGTAGGGAATAACTGTCGCAATGAAATGCACTCTCAAAAGCATTTACCATGTTCTGAGGGTGACTGTGTCATTAGCAGCCTGTCCTCCAATGCTCATTGCCAGCTAACCTTTACTCTCCTGTCTCAAGGGCTTTGAGCTCACCGACCATGAGCTCTGCTCTTGGCACTCATACCTGGAGGTTCGAGAGATCTGGAGGATTTCTTTCTTTTTCTTCTTCTTTTTAAGATTTATTTATTTTATTTGAAAGGCAGACTTACAGAGAGAGAGGGAGAGGTTTTCCATTCGTTCATTCAACCCCTGAATAGCTGCAACAGCCAGAGCTAGGCCAGACTGAAGCCAGGAGCCAGAAACCTCCCCAAGGTTTCCCTCGTGGCCACAGGGACCCAAGCACTTGGGCCATCCTCTGCTGCTTTCCCAGGCGCATTAGCAGGGAGCTAGATAGGAAGCAGAGCAGCCTGGACTTGAACCGCTGCCCACAGGGGATGCCAGTGTTGTCAGTGGTGGCTTCACCCACTGCGCCACAGAGCTGGCCCCTGGAGGATTTTTATTTTTTTAAATCACTGGCTACTGGCTCTAAACTGACCAGCTCTCAACACTGTCATTGCTTGCTGCTAGTGGTATCTCTATATTTGAGCAAAGAATTTGGGCCAACATTTTACAAAGTGCTTTGAAGATGAAAAGCACTATGTTATGCTATTATTATTATTATCCTTTCCACACAAAGCTATAAAGAAACCTTTAAACCTTTAGGGGACAATAGTCCAAAATTAGCTATCATATCAACTCTTTCCTAAATCTCACTTTGCTTGTTTTTCTGATTTTTCTGGGCTTTGGCTTTATTATAAAGTGTCACGTCTGAAGGAATGCCAAAGTATTCATTTGAAACCTGGGAGTGGGAGCTGACAGTGGCTTATAAAGCAGTCAGTGGTCAGTGGTTTCCAGGAGACCAGTCGAGGCTTTCCTGCGTTTAAAATGCAAATGAAAGAATGTGCCAGATGATACAAGAGAGCTGACCGTCATTTTTAGCATAACAATAAGGTGTCAGAGATAGCCCTCTCATTCAGCATCTTTTGACATTTTGGACATTTTCCAAGCATGAGAGGAGCAAACCATCAGCCATCGACTTTTACACAGACGCTAGAGCCGGGATGTGCTGCGCTGGTTGCAATCAAATCATTTCTGAAAAGACCACAACCTTTCCGTTTATGAGGTCTCATTCTGGTGGTCAGAACCCAAGAGAGCCCCAAGTAACACCATTGAGATCATGTAGCGAGTTTCTATTTACTTTAGTGATTTGAAACTTCCTGTGGAAATAGCTCACAGGTTTCCTGATGGAAGATTTTGTTTATCTTTGCCAAGCACCACCAGGAATCTCAAAATAAAATGCATTTAGTGACATTGGGAAACCAGGGAGATAAGGCAGTGCAGTTCCTGTTTCACCCTCAGTAATTGCTAACACACCCATTGTCATGCTGAGTGCCAGCAACGCAGCAAAAACACACACATAGGAAAAGAAAAGGGCCACATTCATTTTGAGGTCTGTTTCTTATATGGGGAACCCGGTCAGTGGAGCTAACTGGGTTTCTGTGATCAGACAGCCCTCTGGAAGCCAGGATCCAGACCTCAGGAGAGCCCCCTGCGCTGTTTTCTTTGGATCCCTGAAAGATGGTCAATAAAATGTCCTCAGCTATTTTATGAACCCAGAGGGATTTTCTCCTTCATTCACGTTGATTTTTTTTTTTTTTTTTGAAGCTTGAGTACAAAAACCGACCCAAGAATCGGCTTCTAACCCTCCAAGTGAAAACAAAAAATCTTGGCACACGTCAGGACGTGTTGCAGATTGAGCACTGTCTTCAGCGTTAACAAAGGACATTCTAGCTGAGACCCCGCACACCCAAGGCCTCTGATGAGGTGTCACAGAGAAGACTCAAGCCCTGCTCAGCACACATGCAACCTGGGGTTGGTGAGAGAGTAACCCAGTCATCAAGGCGATCTCTGGGAGTAGACATCCACTGAGCCGGATCACACATGTGGATTAAGTTCACCAGAGAGATAAGTTAGGAATTTAAGAAGGAGGAAAGAGCTCTCATTTGTCAGGTGGAAATAAGGAGGCGTTCCTGCCACTGAAGAATTGAAATAGCATTCTCTACAAAGAAAATGAGCTGTGATTAGGAAGGGTGACTTGTTCAAACAGATGCCACGGACAGGTGAGTGCCAATGTCTGGAGCTGAAGCAGTCAAGAATTCTGAAGACTGTAGTTCACCAGCTTTCATCGATTTGAAAGGCAACTCTAAATTATGATTGTATACGAAAAATGTGTTTTAAAAATGCATTTGAGAGGCAGAGAAAGGAACCGACAGACAGACAGAGAGAGTGCTCTCCATCTGCTGGTTTGCTTTCCAGACACCCACACTGGCTGGCCCGGAGAAGCGGGGAGCTCAGTTGGCTCTGCCTTGTGTGTGACAGGAATCCAATGACTGGCACCATCACTGCTGCCTCTCAGAGTCTGTGTCGAGAGATGCTGCCATCAGGAGCCAGGGCCTGGTAGGAAACCCAGGCACTGTGATGTGGGATGCAGATGTCTTAACTGGCATCTTACATGCTAAGCAAATCACCCCCACGCCACCCCATTATTGTATTTTAAGAAAGGGGCAGTGTGATTGGAATGAGAATTAATAAACATCCACACGTAGATCTTTAGAGCACAGATCTTAGCCGTTTTTAAAGCATTACTTGCATTGCATCAAGTATATGCACTGAACAAATAGATATTCATTTTTTTCCCCAGAAAATAGACAAGTAAGGTTTGTGACATTCCTAAGAATATTTAGTCTCATCTCCGGTGAGAATGAATCTCATGACAAAGATTTGAGTAAGAAAAAGAAAATAGCTGATAATAAATACTGAAATTCATTGACTATCCCCAGTCAAAGCTGGAACTTTTCAGGACTGGTAGAATTCAAATAAAGTATATTTCAAGCAATAGGGGCTTGATGGGCTGAACTTTTCTTCAGTTTTAAGATGAAAACTCTTGGGGTGGTCGTTGTGGCCAATGGGTTAAAGATGCCACTTGCAGTGGAGTGTCGGGTTAAGTCCTAGCTATCCTGCTTCTGATTCAGCTCCATGCTAACGCACCCTGGGAGGGACAAGATGGCGGCTCAAGTGCTTGACTCTCTGCCACTCAAGAGGGAGATCCGGATGGCGTTCCTGGCCCCTGGCTTCAGCCTGGCCCAGCACTGGCTGGTGCAGCCACTTAGGGGGAATGAACCAGCAAGATGGAAGTTCTCTCTGTCTCTTCCTCTCTCACTGTATTCTGCCTCTCAAACAGATTAATTTGAAAAAAGCCCTTGAATTTTTAGAGGAAAAGTGTTGCAATTTTCCAGTATATTATGATTCAATTATGGGTGTTCTTTTCCACAGAAAAGCCTTAGAATCTACATGATGTGATGAGAGGTTGGAGAGAATTTAGTGGGTGGCCAACCTCATTAACTAGGGCTTTTCAGCAACAATACTACGCTTAGAAATATGATGCAACCCCTTGCCCACTTTCCTGCTGGGTTATACTCTTTTTACTTTTTATTTGTCAGACTCTTTATTTAGTAGAACCATTAAACCATTGACTATAATATAGATTAAGAATGTTATCTCAAACAATTAAACTAAAAATTTTAAACCTGGAAAAAGCAATAAAAGAGAAAGATGATGCAGCAATGAAAAACTCAGTGGGACAGAAGAGATGCTGGTGTGTAATTAAGGAGAGTGTGTGGTCCCTCCTAGTGTGGGACAGAGTGAGGGGTGGATAGAGAGGATGAGGGAGCCAGGCCTTCAGCACGGCCCGGTGCTCTGGAACTTGAGTAGTCCCAGAACTCTAAATTTATTCAGAGTTGTGGCCTCTCCAGCCATCATGAAGGGATTTTGTTCATAGAAGGCTGAAACATATTCAGTAGCTTGTTGGCTTGTTTTAGAACTTAGTGTTTAGATGAGTGATCCGTGAGCCTCCTCTGGTACTCTCGTTTTGGGTTTGAAAATGTCATAGACAGTCTGTCTTCTTCTCTCTACCTACTCAAACTCTGTACTATCACCATCACCATCACCATCACCACCACGACCATCACCTCCACCATCACCATCACCACCACCTCCACAATCATCACCACCACCACCTCCACCATCACCATCACCACCACCTCCACAATCAGCATCATTACTACCACCACCTCCACCATCACCATCACAGCTACCACCAACACTTCCACCACCTCCACCATCACCATCACCAATATCATCACTACCACTATCACCAATACCATCATGCCAATCACCTCCACCATCACCAGCACCTCCACAATCACCACCATTACCACCATCACCACCACCACCACCTCCACATCACCATTACCAATACCATCACCATCTCCACCTCTACCATCACCAATACCATCACCACCACCTCCACCATCACCACCACAACCACCATCATCACCACCACCAACTCCACTACCACCATCACCTCCACTACCACCATCACCATCACTGATACTATCACCACCACCATCACCACCATCACCACCATCACCATCATCACCATCACCACCATCACCACCACCTCCACCATCACCATCACCATCACCGATACCATAACTTACCACCACCATCACCATCACCAACACCACTATCACCACCACTACCACCACCACCAACACCTCCACCACCACAATCACCATCACCCCAGGGCTTCTTCAAGTCCTGCCTCCTGTTCAGAGACTGGGAGCTATACTCTTAAACATGGTAATCGTGAACCAAATGTGGCTTCTGTGCACTTGAAATGTGGCTAGTATGACTGAAGACCTGAATTCTATTCCATTAATATTACTAATATTGATTTGAATTTGAAATCTGAAGCTGTATAATATTACATGTTAAGATGATTAGATTTTAGATATCCTGGATTAAATAAAATAGATTTTGTCTTTTAAAAATGTGGCTACTAGATATTTTAAACTACATATATGGCTTATGTTTCTACTGCACGTAGATGACTTCAGGGAGTAAATTCGTCTATCACATTACTCCTGCACATCAATGCTATTTAACATTTCATTCTTTCTTTGGTGGTGGAAACGTCTTCCTAGATAGAATAACACCTGGCCTATGGGCCACATAAAGACTGTGAAATCATTTGGCCTGGCTCTGCCAAGGCAACAGCAGGCAGGACTTGAAAGTCAATAAATCTGTAGCAGGCTCATTTTGAAGCTGGTAATCTGTATGGCCCACACATGATATAAACATCCAAATGGCCCTTGGCAGAAAAAAGGCTCCCCACCACTGTAGAAAGACAGGGTTTCACTGCTATTCTTTCAGGAGTGCTGTACAGAGCTGAATTGTACTGTTTAATTTTTAGTGCTCAGTAAACTGTTGCAAACTGCATGCATGTTCAGAAGAGAAGAGAAATTCCTCAGTCTTCCACATTCTAAATCAAGGTACAGTGAGCGTGGACTTGGACAGTCACCTGTTTCCAGTCACAATAAAGGACAGTACACACTGTTGCATTTAATTAGTCCACATCATCAGAAATTTATTAGAGGACCAATCTGTGTGAAATCTGTCAAATCCTTCTCTAAATAAAGGCCTTTTCCTCCTGGGAATGGATGCCAACACGCTTTCCCTTCCAGCAGTGGGCAGCAGGGGCTGACTTGGTGTGGGGCCGCTCTGCCACGTCCCTCTCCACCTCTCCAATTCCCATCTGGAAAACGCAGGAGCTTTCACACTGAACTTCTTCAGCTAGGACATTCTGGGGAAATCTATTCAAAGATCTCCCCACACACAATTGGTCTGTGGCTGTGGCTAGCTGGCCAGCAGGCTCCTGTCCCAACAACCTACATGCCTCATGAAATCAGACCTGCCCATTTCTTTCTGGAGACTTCTAGGCAATTTCTGCAGCCTGCCCTAGGCAGTGGGAAGTTTCCAGAGAGCTGGCAGACTGCCCAGGCTTCCTCAGAAATTGGGGGAGTGTGGAGCCAGGCAATTGTTTTCATACTTTGAGCTACTTACTTCCTTCCTGTACCCACAGAGGACATAAGAGTGCCATTTGTGTACGTTAGAGGTTTTCAGATTTGCAGAGCCCATCATATTGAAGACTACAAGTTCTTAAATGCTATAAAAATAGCCCAATAACACTTGCTAACAAGACTCTGTTTCAGATTTCTATAGGAGATCCTCAGTGCCCCAAAAGCAGAAGTTGAAAAAACAATTAGCTTCTTGGTTGAAAAAAGAAAGTCATCATACATATTAGAATTGACTTTGATTATTATATTATTACTATTATTATTATTATATTGTATTATTATAACTGGCTATGAAACAACCACTGTGTGCCAGACCCTATGCTAGCTAAAAAACATGAACACACGAGCTCCCACATTCCCGGTCGAGCCTGGAAAGCAGACACACACAAAGGGCTGGAACAGAGAATTCAGGGAAATAGCTCTTCAGGAGCTTCGATGGTGTGGAACTCCACTCCTGAAAGCAAGGATGAAGGTACTCAACACTTGGCAGTTCTACACAATGAACCTGGACGTTCACCAGGCTGGCTCCGTGGCCGCGGGCTGTGTGGCTTACCTGTGACATAAAAGCTCATGTTTCTTTCCACACTCCCCACTTTATTGGAAGCCATGCAACTGTAGATTCCAGAAATTCTGGAGTCTGCCACAACCAAGGTGCTGGCGGTCTGCAAGAGAAGAGGAAATTGCAGCTAGCAAGGGGACAAAGGACCCTTTGAACACCCCACGCTCCTTCTGAAGGCTGTAAGGATTCAGCTAATCCATTCATTCAGCAAAGACAGTATTGCCTGGGGGGCGGTGGCCAGAAAGCGCTCTGCTTGCTGCGTCCCAGCAAGAGTAGAAAAATAACAGGAAAGCAGGTCCTCAGGAGACCGGGGCCTCTGACATCCGACTCGTATGAGGGCTTCAGGCTTATCTCGTGCTGCTGGCCTAACAATCACAGACCTGAGGCCGAGATGTGGGACTGCACGTCCTAGCCCACGAGGTGGCCAGGGCTGCGTCACTAGGAGGAGCAGGTGAGGCCAGGCCTTCCCTTCCCTTTGGTTGGGGTGGGCTGAGAACAGGCGTCCCGCACGGAGACCGGGAGGCTGCTCTGCGGCGGCGGGCTCTGCTGCGGGCTGCGGGAGTGTTCCGGGAGCCGAGGTGGAAGAGAATGCCTGGCTGCACTAGTTCTCTCCCGGGCTCAAAGGAAGTGGCAGGCAGCCCCACTGGCCCTGAGGAGAAGAGGGACTGAAAAAGTGCGCTAAGATGCCTGTGTGAGTGTGTGTGTGTGTGATATCACTTAGTCCCTCTGTCAATTCCTAACCTCAAAAAGGGAGACATAGTTATTAACTAATACCACAATCTTAATACCTAATACTTACCTAATAGAATACCTGATACCTAACACTAATACCTAATAACTAACACCTCTAGATTTTGCTGCTGCTCCTAACAACTTAGCACCCTAATGTCAGTACTCAAGTTTGGATGCATTTCAAAGCACTTCTCAAGCTATGATGTCTAAAAAGGAATCAAACATGATTTTGGACAGCTTCAAGACTTGCAAAGGCTTCGTTTAAAGAAAAAAAGCAGCATCATGAAACAAACTGCTGAGTGTTCTTAAAGATAACTCATCTTTGCATAAAACAGTAAGGCATACTTCCAGCAAAAAAAAATTGCAAATCCTAGTTGTCCATCCTTGAAATTACCCAGGGGGGAAAAAAACCTAATCCAGTGACTTCTAAATCTTTGCAGCTTATCTCCTGGGCCATAGATAACTGGTCATGGGTTTGGAAATTGTAGAGGCTGTGTGGATGTTTCCAGAACTATAATGATCATGTGCCTCACAGGCTAAAGTAATGAACATTCTGGAATGTGACAGTGAACTTTCCAAGGTGGTGCTCATACTGTACAAGTATCCGGGTCATCTGGAAGGGTCCTAACATTCTCTGAGTCACTAAATAAAGTGCTATTTACTTGTGTTCTCTCATCCCACCTAATAAATTAAGGTGTTTTTGTCTTTAACCTATAAATGAAGAAGACTAAAAAACATATTCTCAATTTCTCTCTCTCTCTTTTTTTTTTTTTTTTGGCCAGCACACGTATTGCTTCAAATTCTCTGTGATCTCACTATGGCAGAGTGAATATTACACCATACTTTCTCTTCTCTTTGTTGGAAGGATATGTTTATGTCTACTCATAAGTTCTTGGTGTATAATTAAAATTATTGGCAACAAAATATCTGTAAGGGGTAGCATTTTCCCTTCAGTTTAGTAGACATTACTAATTCATGAGAAATGTGTATGATGAAAATTTGATGTGTGAGTTTCAACTTTTTTGCGCCCAAATACACTTATCTTTTAATTACATTTTGCATGAACTTTTGGACACCCCTTATCTTGAGTGATTAGCAAGGCAATGCTCAGATGTTTGTAAGGTGACAGAGAAGAATGTCATAATCCCTACTCTTCACAACTTTTGAGGTGACAAATGAATGTCCCTCCTTGGAGATCAAGTATGTAGCATTCTCTCTTTGACAAAGCAGCACTCCCACAGAGTCAAATAACCAGCAGAGAAGAGTATGGAAAGAGTACATTATCTCCTTATTTTGATTCTGAATCTTGCTAAGAGGTGGGAAATAAAGGTTCTGGATATCTGTCTCCTTTAAATTATTGGACCTACCATGTAAGAATCATGGAAGAAATTGGAAGCGATTAGAAGAGAAGCTTGTAGGTGTCAATGTGAAAGATTTCTGTTACAATGGATGTAGAAAATGACACTGATGGGAGTTTACTGGATTTCCTTGTTTCTGGGTCCCTTTATGCTGCCCTGGTGGTACACCTGTGTGCAAGGCAGTTTACCTGCACTATCTTGTTGGATGCTCCCTAGCCTCCTAGAAGATGGGTGCATTTCCTGTTTCCCTATCCTACGGATAAAGCAACTGAGGTTTATGGAGGTCAAGTGATTCACTCCAAGGCCACAGATGGGCCCGGCAGCACTGGCGCCCATTGTGTGCCTGCGCAGTGCTTCTGCGCTTCCTCCCCACCCTCAGCTGCTTCTTGCCTACACTTTAACTGGAATAACACAGATCTGTTGGTAAAGCTCTGCTCCCTAAATGGAGTTTTTCCCCAAGAACACCTTCTTCAATCAGTAGAGATGGGTCACATACGCTAAATGCTGCCACATACAGACGTTTGAGCATCTAACATACACTGCAAGCTGTTTTTCAATAATAGAATGTTCTGTGGTTTTGACAATGTTATAATACAAAAAGAAAATTTTAAAATAAGGTGAAACCAATGTTATTAAAAATTATCTCATGTCTAGAGTGCTTCTCTTCTTCCAGAGGATATATTCATACATCATAAACTAAAACATTTTCATTAAAAAAAAGACATTTGGCATTGGAAGCTTATATCATATGGGGTCAGCAAACAACTCCACAGGAGCTGAAGGTCAGTGATGTTTGGGCTACAAGGCAAGTTCTCATAGGGTAGGGGTGTCAAGGCACAAGTTAAGGCACAAATTGACTCTTCAATGTGCACATCCAAGGGGGAAAACTGCAATACTGCAACACAGGGGAAGGGAACGTCCGGCCAGGAGCTGGACAGGCTGCCAAGGCAACCACAGGTGAGCCTCAAATTTCAATAAATGCGCAACAAAAGCTAATGTTTCAATTGATAGTTTTATATGGCCCGTGAATGTCACAAATACCCAAATGGCCCTTGGCAGAAAAAAGACTCCCCACCCCCTGCTCTAGCAGATGGAGCACCAAGCATCAACTTAATGTTTTAAAACAGAAAAGGGTCCAAATTTGAACTCTAAAGATATGTTTGAGGAGCCAGCTTTGTGGTGTAGCAGGTAAAGCCCCCACCTGCAGTGCCAGCATCCCATATGGGCACTGGGTTCGAGTCCTGGCTACTCCACTTCTGATCCAGCTCTCTGCTGTGGCCTGGGAAAGCAGTGGAAGATGGCTCAAGTCCTTGGGCCCCTGCACCCGTATGGGAGATCCGAAAGAAGCTCCTGGCTCCTGGCTTCAGATCTGCACAGCTCGGGACATTGTCATCATTTGGGGAGTAAACTGGTGGATGGAAGACTCTTCCTCTCACTCTCTCTCTGCTTCTCCTTCTCTCTCTGTGTAACTCTGACTTTCAAATAAATAAATAAATCTTTAAAAAAAAAAGGTACATTTGAAATGATAATCATGTATGGTATAAGGCACACCATAAGAGATTATCAAGGATGTCTGTATTAGTTCCATAATTAGTTTTCATTTTCCATCAGTAAAAATCAGTGAAAGAGGACAGAGGCAGGAAAAGAAGCAGAAGTGATAAAGTAAAATGAAAGACAGATGTTCCGTGCAGCAGTTAGCATGCTGCTGGGTCACACTCCTCTCTCAGTAGAGTGCCTGGGTTTGAGTCCCGGCTCTGTGCCCAGCTCAAGCTTCCTGCTAATGAGCACCCTGCGCAGCAGCTGGGTCCCTCTCACCTCTCACTCTGGGAGACCTGGACTGAGTTCTCAGCTTCCAGGCATTTGGTGAGCGAACAGTGAACAGGAGCTCAGTCTATCTGTCCTCTCTCTCTCTCTCTCTCTCTCTCTCTGCTTCTCAAGTAAGTTGCATAAGTAAAAATAAAAATATTAGAATAGCAAAATTCAGATCAGCCAGAAAATAACAGGTTCTTTCACACTCACTTAAAATGTACAGTGCCTCGTTGCATGCAACAAGCATATCAACTGACAACATTTAAAAAGTTCCATTTAAGTTGTACTTATGAAATTTATATTTATTAAATAAAAGCTTTCTATAAAAAAGGATAAAAAATGAGTATAAAGTAAACTGAAAGTAATCATTGTAAAAGTTCAGACAGAGACTAGAGAGGAGGGAGGAAGAAGGGTGGGAGTGTGGGCAGGCGGGAGGGTAGGGGGGAATATCACTATGTCCCCAAATCTGTATATATGAAATACCTGAATTTTGTTTACCTTGAATATAAAAAGAGTTAGGAGTGGTAAAAAATAAAAGTTCCACTTTGTCGTTGACTCAGTGATTGGAGACAAGCAGGCTTTCAGGGAGGTTTCCAGTCCAGTGTTCACTCCACACCCCTAAAAACCTTGCTCTTCTACTCCTCTGTTTATTGCTTTCACTTTGGGGGGCACCGCTGCCTTGGGGATGCTCCCACAGACCCTGCCAGGACCTCAAGCATTCACAGTAGAAGCAGATCCTTCCAGGTGCATCGTCTGGGCTCTTCTGTGCTCCTGGAAACCATCAAGTACTGCAGGTGCACAGCCTCTGCGCGCCCCTTCCTTCCTTCCCCTTCCCCGCATGAGTAATTCCCTACTACAACGTCATCCGAATCTCACGGAATAGGATGAATGGGGTGGTGTGTCATGCCGCCTACTTTCCAGAACCAGTTTTTAAAAACCTATATATGGAACAGCGATATTAATCTCGGAGTGTTTCTAAGGTAGTTTCCTTTCCAGCATTTCAGGAGAAATAAAAGTAGATGTATAAAGGTCATGGAAGAATCTAAAATTACCGTAGGGTAGCACATTTGGGCTGATTGATGGGAAAATGGAAGATGAGAATCAGAGAAAACGCGGGCGTGTGGGATCTGAACCACTAGCTGTAATTGTGTCATGGCTTTGTCTCATCCAGTACACACACTTCCCAAAGTGCCTGGAAAATGATTTCTTTTTCTTTTTTTTTTTTTAAATAAAGATTTACTTATTTGGAAGGGAAAACAAGGGGCGAGGGGCTGGGAGGGAGGGAGAGAGAGGAAGAGAAAGAGAGAGAGAGAGAGAGAGAGATATTTTCCATCTGCTGATTCACTACCCACATGGCACCAACAGCCAGGGCTGGGTCAGACTGAAGCCTGGAGCCAGGAGCTTTTTCCAGGGACCCAAGTACCTGGGCCATCTTTACTCTCTGCACTCCAGACCCATATGCAGGAAGCTGGGTGGGAAACAGAGCAGCTGGGATTCCAACTGGGGCCCCACTATGGGATGCTAGCATCAAAGTGGTAACTTTACCCTCTGTGCCACAACTCCAGCCCCCTACAAAATGATTTCAATGGAAATGTTGTTAAATCATTAACAGGGTTCCAGTTCTCCAGACTCCATGCTGTAGCACGTATTTCCCATGTGTTTTTTCAAACACAGGCTCCTTCTGCTTCCTACTCTCTGTCTACAGACCCAGTAGTCTGCAACTCCATTTGAACAGTAGGCAAACTCCACATTTGCTCTTAGCAATGCCAATTAGTGACTCACTTTTCACAAATCTGGGCCAAAACTTGCCAATAAGGAAATGGAATTCGATTGTCCTCTATACCCTTATTTAAGTTAAGCAGAACAAAACAGAACAAACAAATGAAAAACAAGTCTCTGAAATCCAACAGGTTCCCCTGGGTGAGCACTGCCCAGTGATAGGTGGGGTAGGATTGCTGGGCAGGCTGATTACATGACTGGAGGAAGGGATCGTCACAAACTTTCATTTACTTTCTAAAAACGTAGAGAAAATTAGAGCAGTTTTAATTACAAAGAGCACTGCACCTAAATCAGAAAGAGCCACATTTCCACGCACCACCATCACATGAAAGACACTTCTTTTTACACACACAAACACACACACACAGAGATACACTAGCAGTTGCTAAAAGTCAATGAAATAAATTCTCCTAAATTTAGGACATGAAATCATATACTTCAAGTCTGATGTGTCACAGTTACAACTGCATAGAGGCTCTGCAACCCCTAGATATGTCAGCTTTGAAAGAGTATTAACTAAATATCTTTTCACTGAAAAAAATTGTATTTTTTTTGAAGAATCGTCTTCATTCTATATGTCCACAGTTCATTGGGGAAGTGGGACTAGGGTATATATTTACATATGGCAGTTGCTTTATTAAGGTAGCATTTGCAGAGGGCTTTCTCATGCTGAGATTTCATTTTGACCTTTTAATAGGAAGTTAGATGAGGCAGATATTGTTAACTCCACAGCAGACTCACCTAACATGGCCAGTAAAGGGCGAAATGAATGGACACAACCAATGGCATCTTGCAAGTTTTCTAGTACCTTGTGGCAACTAATTGGCTGTATTCTACTAATGATCTGAGGCAATTTTTTGGTTAAAACATCCAGCACCACCCAAATTAAACCTTCAAGTTTATAGAATTTTCTCTTTTCTAAGTATCTCATTAAATGGCTCTTATCAATAGCTATTACATCATGTGTGAGGGACAAAGAATTGTGAGCCACTTATAGCTACTCCTTTGGTTATAAAAACTGTTCCTAAATCCTTGATAAGCCACTGTTATAAGCTGTCACCACTTTCACTCAATTGTATACTGTGAGAGTACTGGGGTTTGGACTCAGAAAGACTTTGGTCTGACTTTCTCATTTTAAGCTGTGTGATTTCGGATGAATCATCTTATCACTCTTGTTTTTCTCACCTTTAAAGTAAGGCAATCACACTGATCTTCCCAAGAATGATTTTGACATTAGCATATGTGAAACAGTTTTCTAAAATGAAAACTGATGTTAGTTACTGCTATTGTTAAATCCTACACAGAAAGCTATGTCATCCACTTTGTCATCTTCAAATGCAAAGAATACAGCTGAATAGAACAGCGTGACCGGGCTCAAGCAGAGAGCGGCATCTGTGTGAGCAGTGCCCACTCCCAGTCCAGACAGGCATGTGTAAATAGACATTTCAGCAAGGGGTCATGGGATAGCTGCTTCTTGCTTGGGGCCTCGCTCTCCTGTGCCTGACCATAGCAGAGGTGTAAATGTATTCTTCACCCACTCAGCAAGAACAAAAGTCATCAGGTCTGAAAACCGAGGAGAGTCTGCTCAGGACTGCTGAGACTCACTGGTGCTTAGAAGAGTACAAAAGGAATGGTTCAAGATTGACAGAAGAAAAAAAAAAAAAAACCACCTGCTAGCCCTGATTAGGGCAAGGGATTTGGGTATAGATTGTGTCTGCATAGCTCAGCACAGAGGAAAAGAGCCTGCTATGTTTGCAATAAAAGCACTCAGTTTTTGCCTGAAGTTTCATACTAGCCTTTGCCTACTGGGACCCCACTGGCAGCTTATCAGTGATTCTTAGTCCTGGCTACATGCTAAAATCATCTGGAGAATTGTTGCAAGCCCTGGGCTCCACCCCAGAGATCTGCATGTAACAATAGTTAGTCAAATATTCTAATAGGCAGCCAGGATGCAGAAGCCCTGCTATGGACCCATTTGAAGTTCAAGAGGACAGCTCTAACTCTGTCTCTTCTGCTTGCAGCAGATATACCCATTGTCTTGGAGTAGGCAGTGACCAGAGAAGACAGAGTCGCTCTCCATGGAGACATATTTCAGAGACTGTCTCTCTCCTCTCTGAATTTTTGTTTCAGCACGTGAATTACTTCTGTCCCCATGGACCTAGAACTGCCAGCTGCAACTGGAGTGATAGAATCAATATCCCAATGCTCATTTTCATAAACAATACCTTATTCTTTCCTTCTATTATTGCTGTGCGCTGAGTGATGCTCTCAATTCTGTTTCCTGTGTTGCTGGTAGGATCCAGGAGAAACGCTTCTTCATTTTTGGAACAAAAATCATACCTGCAAGTAGAAAAGAAAGTCATCACCATGTTGCTGTGCAGCACAGTCCAGCCCATGGTGACAAGTGTGATGAAAGCCACTGCAGGGGCCGGCGCTGTGACACAGAGGGGAAAGCTGCCGCCTGCAGTGCCAGCATCCCATATGGGCGCCAGTTCGAGTTCCAGCAACTCCACTTCTGCTCCAGCTCTCTGCTGTGGCCTGGGAAAGCAGTAGAGGATGGCCCAAGTGCCTGGGCCCCTGCACCTGCACGGGAGACCCGGAGGAATCTCCTGGCTCCTGGCTTCAGATCAGCACAATTCCGGCCATTGCAGCCATCTGAAGAGTGAACCATTGGATGGAAGACCTCTCTGTCTCTCTCTCTCTCTTTCTCTTTCCCCCGCCTCTGCCTCTTGGTAACTCTGACTTTCAAATAAATAAAATAAATCCTTTTTTTAAATTTATTTGACAGGTAGAGATATAGATAGTGAAAGAGAGAGAGAGAGAAAGGTCTTCCTTCCATTGGTTCACTCCCCAAATGTACTGATCCGATGCCAAAGCCAGGTGCTTTTTCTTGGTCTCCCACATGGGTGCAGGGGCCCAAGCACTTGGGCCATCCTCCACTTGCCCTCCCGGGCCACAGCAGAGAGCTGGACTGGAAGAGGAGCAACCAGGACTAGAACCCGGCGCCCAGATGGGATGCCGGTGCCACAGGTAGAGGATTAGCCAAGTGAGCCATGGCACCTGCCCAAAATAAATCTTTTTTAAAAAAGAGAGAAAGCCACTGCATAAGTCTTCTGATAACAAAGTCACATATTTAATGTGAATCTTCTTTTCTGCAGATTATTTTCCTATATTCATCCTGAAAACTTAAAAGTAGCAAACATATTTGCCTAATATGCAGAAAAATCCATACCAGTGTACTGCCTTCCTCTTCTGCATCGTGAATAGTAAAGCAAAATGTATAAATTAGAAAATTTAATATCTCAATTTTAATGAGTTCCTACTAGAAGTAACATGTAAATACGGGGAGGGCAGCAGAAATGAAGTCATGTTAATCAATGAAAATCTCCAGGAAATAATAGCATTTCTCATCCAAAAAAAGGCTGGCTTTTCATCAGAATATTCAGTTGCATAGCTAATTTTTTCCAGGGTTAATTAACTGCACATAGAAACAGACATCACAGAGAGTATTTAACGTTAGTCTATTTCTTTTCAAGTTCTGGGTATCACGGCAAACTCTCACATCTCAGCATCTCAAGGCCTCAAGTGTCTAATTAGAAAACAAAAATGTTGCTTTCACTTATCTATAAGGCCTATGAAATCTCCCTCTTTACTTTAAACACTTCATCACTTTGTGCTTGTGCCTTCTGGACTAGAATTTTCCATGAGCAGAGAGTGTGCTGGTCTCAAATTTGTCCATGACTTGGGCAGTTTCTGGCAATGTTCACCCTGGGACTGATTTTTGAAGCCAGCGTGCAGAAAGAAGGGGTGGTTGAGCTTAAGTAGCCACCGGCAGTACTGACCGACACGAGACGCAACAGACAAGGTAAGGTTAGGGAGGAAAAGATAAGAGGACAGGGACCGTGAGGGTCAGAAGGATGTTTGGTTATTCGTTCTCTCTGGCGCCTCAGCCCGGAAGGGCCCCCAGAATGTTGGACTGTGGAGCCTGTGGGGCTGGGGACCTGTATTGTTGTGTCTTTCAGCAGGATTCTGCTTCTGAGGCTCCACTCCGAGCTTCGGAGGCCCCTGTGGGTGCAGGGGTCCGAGCTCTTAGGCCATTTTCTGCTGCTTTCCCAGGCTCATTAGCAGGGAGCTAGATTGGAAGTGGAGCAGCAGGGACATGAACTGGTGCCCATGTGGGATGCTGGCATCACAGGTGGTGGCTTAACTTACTACACCATAATGCAAGCCCCTAAAAATGTCTATTTTTACACATACATGATTTAGAATGAAAAAAAAAAAAAACTAATGTAGGCTGAGCATCCCTTAAGGAACTTCGGTGATTTTCACTGATGATTAGATATCATCCTCGGGTAAAATAATTGAACATGTTGACACTTATTGGTTAGTGGAGTAGACTGAACTAAAGCGAAATCATTCACTCTCTCCTTTATTGGAGACATTTTAATGACCAAGTTTTAAAATCACACTGTGAAAGCCACTTTGCCATCATTTTCATGATCATTCTTCTCCACATTCTAGACATCCATAAACTCCTGTTTCACTTCCCATCTTACACACACACACATGCACACACACACATCTGAGTATCTATAACACGCATGTAGACACATGTATACACCTATAGTAGACATGTGTATGGCTCCTTGGGACCATTGACACGCAACAGCTGAAACTCTCTTGTACCTGGAAGAGAACACTTTTAGCTTTCACCCAAAGCAATGAAAAAGGTAAGGGAGGCCCATGATAAAGATGTGAATTTCCTACTCCTGGTTTTCAGGAAATACAAAGAAATACGTTAGGGTAAAGCAAGCCTCGGAGTTTCCCAAGGGAACTACAGTCTCCTGTCTGAGTTCACTCAGAGCTGTGGGCTTCTGACCCCCCCCCCCCCACCACCACCACCAACGCCCAGCCCCCATTCTTCCTTCAGTGCGCTAAGGGCAGAAAGCAACTCTGCCAGCCCTGGTCTGGAAGTTATAAGCTGGACTTAACCGCCGGCTCCCCCAAATGGAACGGACACGTTCTGTGGCTATTTTCTAATTGAGAGGTTGTTATTTTTCCCTCTTTGTCATTGGAACCACAAAAATAGAATGTCATTTCGGAGGCTGACTTTATAACAGCACTTGAAAAGAGATTTCGGGGGGGAGGGGGATTTGCCTAAGCCTTAAGAATACATCAAGCTCTTAAGGAAGTAGATTGTGCCATGTTTGAAGATGCAAAGATAATCACGGTGCTGGGAACCGTCTTGAGGGGGGAGGAAGCCGAACAACGAGAGGAAAGCAGCGCTCGCTTCTGATTTCGCACAGGAAGCTCACAGCACCTCCTGCCAAGGCAAGATAAGAAAGCTCTCATGCACTATTCTGGACAAGGCCACTGTTATCAGGCTCGGGCTGTCCTCTCCGCGCTCCGGGCCTCTGCCCCTCTCCTAAGGAGCTCTAGGACTCCCACCTCCATTTGCATACGGCATGCCAAGGAGGTATTTATAACCAGCGAGAGAGAGGAAAAAAAAAATTCTGGGGCTAAGAGTGGATTCCATGTCATCTCTGTCAATTACTCTGCAGCTCACACGACTTAGTTTCAGACTAGAGAGTGATACGCGTGAAGGAAAAGCCAGCAGCCCGTGACATGTCCAACACACGCAGCTGCGACTCTGGGTGACGCGTCGGCCTGTTTCACTCCAAGTGGGGGCCATCTGCCCCGCTCGCCCATCTGCTCTGAGTTACTGATCGTCTTCTCAACACAGCACAGGGCACTGTCCCCCTCCGTGGACGCAGATGACACTGCTGACTTATGTGCTTTGGGCAGAATCTCTCATCCTGGTGATGGGTTTGTCCCACTCCTTTCACATTCGTAAATATTTGCCTCCTCTGTGACCAAAGACAGAGGCAGCCTGGAGCTACAGAAAAAAGCAAAGCCAGGGGCCAGCACTGTGGCGTAGTGGGTAAAAGGCAAAGCCAGCCCTGGGCTCAACCCTACTATCTTAACACTGATTGCTGGTAGAATTTCCGCACTCACTTCCGGCTTGTTTCAGGATGTGTGCGTGGAACCTTTCCACCATAGGTGACACGGTATCCATGCGCTCCCATCATACGACAAGAAATCGTCCTACTCCAGTGCCCTTTTGTGTATAGAAATAGAAGTCCTCTCGGCTGTTCACCACCCAAACTTACTGCAGTTGAGAATTTAATGTCTTTTTTTCTCTATCTCTTTCCCTCCCTCCCTCCCTCCCTCCCTTCCTTCCTTCCTTCCTTCCTTTTAGCTCTTTATACATGATAGACCTTCTTTCCCAAATCTGTTCAACAGCTTTCATCTCACACAGCAAAAGATACAGCGTGCCCTATCCGCTGGTAGGGTTCATACTAGAGCGAGATCACTCCGCAGTTCCGGAGGTCTGCTCAGTTCCTGTTCGTCTTCCAGATCCCACACTCAGGACCACAATGCGCTCTGAGCGCCCTTCCATGCTCACCTGTGTTGTTCTCGCCCCGCTGGCTTCTAACAGTGCTGGTTTCCCCCAGTCCTCCTGTTTTACATCCTCTTCCCCCCTCTAAATCGCAGAGTCTCTTCTTCAAGGGAAGGACTTTGGCACAGGCTGCAATCCGACAGACCCGTCCAGTCAGGTGAGCGGCAGCCACCGCTAGTATTTGCCCTTGGTCTCTCAGGTAAGAAGATGACAGACTCTGAAAAACTGGGCTGGATGGGTCAGTAGCCTTCACAGAATCTGCCCCCTGGTTTGGTGCCTGCTATGGAACGCGGGACTCCGGCAGACACTACCCTGTATAAAATTCTCTTTCAGAAATACTTTCCTGCAAGTTTGATAGCCATTCCAGTTCTACAAGGTCTACCCCATAGTCATCAGTCTTTTTTTTTTTTGACAGGCAGAGTGGACAGTGAGAGAGACAGAGAGGAAGGTCTTCCTTTTGCCGTTGGTTCACCCTCCAATGGCCACCACGGCCGGCGCGCTATGGCCGGCACACCACGCTGATCCGATGGCAGGAGCCAGGTGCTTCTCCTGGTCTCCCATGGGGTGCAGGGCCCAAGCACTTGGGCCATCCTCCACTGCACTCCCTGGCCACAGCAGAGAGCTGGCCTGGAAGAGGGGCAACCGGGACAGAATCCGGCACCCCGACCAGGACTAGAACCCAGTGTGCCGGCGCCACAAGGCGGAGGATTAGCCTAGTGAGCCGCGGCGCCAGCAGTCATCAGTCTTAAGTTTGTTTTGTTTCATTTTTTTTGAAGATCCCCTTTCACCCTGTGATACCTGGTGTCATGCCGACTTGTCTTTCGAAGGCCCCGTTCTGCTCGTGTCTGGCTCCTCAGAAGGGAGATTCAGTGTGCCTGGG